TCTTTCTGTACCAAAGTATCTGTTGACAAATATTAATTATAATAACAACGTAAAAGACCTTATATGTTTTAATATTCGTACCAAGTACATCAATCAATATTTGTTTTTTCAGTGGAATTCCAACTCCATTGTCGGCCAAACAAAAATATTGTCCTGCATCTTTGATTTGAACTTCAGTTATTACCAAGGTGCCATTTTCCATCACCTGCATCCGCCCTGTAGTTTCTTCTGAAATTGTTAATGCCGCTGATGTAAACTGCAATATTTCCTACTGTTTACTTAAAAAAATAACAAAGTTTTATAAAGCATGTTAGATAGATAGGAATATATCTGTGAAGTGTTGCACATTTCGGTATTACATGAATTATACAAATATAAATTCCAGTAAACTTTAACAAACTTAATTTATATTGCTCTTTTACTTTTGTAATTTACCTCTTTCAGTGAATTCTCTAATCAAACAGGAATATTATAATGCTTATTATATAAAGGCATTACTATAAATTCTTAAGGTTTAATTGATATTAAAATACAAGAGTAATGTTAACGGAACTGTTACAAACAATAAATCAGTGAAACAGATAGGAATAAGGATTCACGTATCGACCTCTGGTGATGGTGTTTATATTTCATTTTATTTCTTCAGATAGTTTTTAAATCTTTCTACTGACAGTCATGTTCAACCTCACGAAAGTATGTATTCATTTTGTAGATTATTTTTCTCTTTATCGAATACAGTAAAAATTCTAATCAGGTTCCTTTGTTCAAAAATTAAATTCATCCCAGAATCACTATCAAGCACTTACGTCAAAGTATTAAACCTTAAAAAATTCATTGTTTTCCAAATTTCCATCTGTATGTTACTCAGTCTTGATAAATTTATCTTGATAAAAATGATAAATTTTAGACAGAATATTAAAATGCTAGTAACAAGCACTTACTTCTAGAAAGAATTCTCTCAAACTTACGGTTTCTCTTTTCCCACCATACAGATGGTTTAGGATATCCTTCAGCTTTACAGTGAATAAGAAGTTTGGTTCCTTTGATGATATTTGAGTTCTTTGGTTCAAATGTCCATCGAGGAGCAACTATAAGCCAAAATATTTTAAAATATCATATACAGTATTTTTCTGATCATAATTAAGCTTGAATAGCTCATTTGTGTATGTTTCTACGTAAATATTTCAATTTCAGTAAAATATCAAGTTTGATCAAATAATGCTTTCAGCGTCCATTATCTTTTTTACATTACAAAACATATCGACAAAACACAACATTCATACAGAATGATTTGTTTGGGGGTGTTCCGTTCTGGCTTTCTTTATACTTTACAGCCAGATATAACACTTTATCCTCACATCTTGAATATAGCTTAACAGTTCGGAAACTTTCATAATCTACGCCTGTTTAAACATAAAAGATGTCTAATAGAACTTTAGTACATTATAAAATACCTACGTTTGATACGCTAAATACGTAACGACATTCTGAAAATTCTTTAAAATAATTGGCAGATCAATTATTTATATAATAGAAGTAACCAGGTTTTATAGTTTGTATATATATATATATATATATATATATATATAACGTTGTTCAGCATAGAACTACTTATATGTCAGTGGTGTACTTTAAAGAAATCCAAGAATCATTATTGTTGACTTTTTTTAGGATTAAAAGTCACTGAAAACTTATGAACTAAAAGAAATTTATATTACAAAACAATTGTCTAGATTTGCATACATCTTTTTATAATGTTTATAATTTTTTCTCTAGCATCTTAATAACTTTGACTAATGTATTTCTTGAGCTTGAGAGAATTCAACCATAGTTGTTCTAATGAATATAATAAGAAATGTTCGTAAAAATGAACCTCACGTTGACTTATACTTTATGAAAATTTCTGGGCAATATTTTTGTTGCTTTTGGCCCTATCATCTAATATAAAATTTAATATTTCGGTAAAGGATCAAGACCTGATCAAATTAATAGGTAGGTACATAAAGACAAACAGGATATCATCCAAAATTCATAATAGTAATAATAGATCATTTCTATTTTGGTTTGGTTTGTTTGGAATTTCGCGCAAATCTACACGAGGGCTAATTTAGCAGTGAAAGACTATAGTGAAGGCAACTAGTCATCATCACCCACCGCCAACTCTTGGGCTACTCTTTTACCAACGGATAGTTGGATTGACTGACACATTATAACGCCCCCACGGCTGAAAAGACGAGCATGTTTGATGGGATGGGGATTCGAACCCGCGATCCTCAGATTGCGAGTCAAGCGTCCTAATCACCTGGCCATGCCCGACCATTTTCTATTTTGACTGCCTTCAATTTTGCTAAAGTATACTTCAAACAAACTGAGATTATGAAGTTGTCCTGCACCAAACCTAAATATGCATTTACATCTCCTACTGCTACTGCTAGCCGTACTACTAGAATATCAATATTCCATATGCGCCATGTTAATTATGTTATATTCCAACTCAAAACAATGTTAACTGTTCAATGAATGCAATTACCTTTAACGTAGAGCTCCGTTGAAAAGCTAACTGATCCTCCTTTACTCTTGACTTTGCATGTATAGTTTCCTTGGTCCAACAAGGTAACAGGGTCAATCACAAGCACTGAAAATTTCTCATCAGTGAGTACACGTTTGTTTTTGTCCTGAATGTCTAGATTAACGCTGTCCTTCAACCACTCAAAACGAAAAGGTGCTATTCCTGTGTCAACAGCACACATGACCTGGTATCCCTTACCTAAAGTGATATTTTTAGGAAATGCAAAGGGTTTTATACTTGTAAAAGCTGAAAAAAAGAAAAGACACAAAGTTAACCACAATTTAACACAGATTAGTGAATCAAAATATTAAAATACCATAATACTTTGCAAATACAAATAAAATTGCAGTCACTGATCAACCTCAATATATGATTTATATCTGATTTTTAAAAATTATTGTTCATTTAAAAAGGACATAAAGTAAAAAATGTAATATGGAGAAATAAATATCCATTTTTATCTTCTGGTGAGTTTCTTCTCCTTGTTTTCAATAAGTTTTAAATTTCTCTCTTTCTGTTAAAGACACGTTCAACTTCATGAAAGTATATAAAATTAACTCTTTTCTTCAGTTTGTTAATCAGTTTTCTTTGTTGAGTAAGTAAATAAAGCCTTTGTTCAAAATTTACATTATCGTGATTTTTGGCCCCTCCAGCGGCAAATTTTCAGGCTTACGACGCTAAAAATCGAGTTTCAATACTGGTGCTGGGCAGAGCACAGATAGCCCATTGTATGGCTCTGCGCTTAACAACAACAAAAGCAAATCCTCATTTATGTCCAAGCTGTTAGGATCTCACAAATTCTACACAAAAGATTAAAGTCCTCATTTGTACTAGAAACGAATTTATATAATAAATACATAAAAGAGAGTAAAACCACCAGAGAAAATAGGGGGGGAAAGGATAAACAGTTTTGTTTAGTCAGAGTTACGGGAATTTCAGTGATATTCTGCAAATGGCAGATATTGTTATTAAATATATTAACAAATGTAACATGACTTACCTTTTCCTTGAAGTAAAAGAAACATGATGAAGAGACAGACAACTTCAATCTTTACTGTCATCATTTCTTCTCTAATTCGCGAAAAGCACATCTGCTCTATTAAACACTTCGGTTCATTATTTCTATAATGGCGTCGACAAACTTGTAATCGAAGAAAGGGAGAATTTAGTTAACTATACGCAATAGTTTCCCATTTTAGTTGGAACTCGAATACGCAATACTAAATCTCCAGAGTAAAACAGATACCATCAACTGAACCCATAAACAACTCTTCTGAAATCAAACTATAATCGTTGTTATATGAGTGTCGTCTATTGAAACCTAGCGTTACCCCCATATGCACAAACCCTAAAGATGGCTGCTACTATATTTCAGCGTTTTGCGTGCCCCGCAGCGGAGAAAGAAAATCACTCAAATACAACAAGCATTTAAACTCAGTCAACAACTCCTTTCTCTATATGGAATTTTTTGTTGGCATACATCTTTCCTTTTCTGATTTTCTCGAATAAAAGGGCATATTTCAAAATACAAAACAACACAACAAATGAATAAACTGTTATTCAGTAAAGATAAGTATACAATTATATATATTCGCTCATTTTGAAAGAATAACAAGATATCATATGAGATTTGCAAAAGAAAAATCTGATATGCAAATGTGTAGAATGTTAAGAAAAATGTAAGTGATATTATATTAATTACGTTTTCCTTATTTTTTTCCCAAACTGGTTCCTTCATTAGAATGGGAAACTTATGAAAAATAAGAGTATTGTTACTTTGAAGCACATAATATAGGAAAGATTATTCCTAGAGAAATAGTTTTAACTAAATATTATATACTAAATTTAATGATATCATACCATTTTGGTTTCATTAGTATTTTACGAGAGAGTTCAGAGATTATAGAACCATTCTAATTTATTACAAAATAAGCATCACGCCAGAAAAATTGGACAAATATTCGTTCCTACAGTAGGGCATACAACAGTGTTTTTCGTTGCAGGTACAAAGCAGTGTATTTATTTTCAAACTTAGAATATCGGAAACGAGTGTTTCTGATCTGAATAACTAACTCGCATTCAAATAACAATAAAATAGCAAAATATAGTATCTCGAATAATACCTGTTATGAAAAACAAAGGTGGAAAACAGCCATTTGTATGAGTAACCTGCTTGATATCTCCTTTAATATATTCAGACGAAATTTTGTAATTAGTGTAGAGGATTTAAAATGAAATAGTATTTATTTAATTTTCTTAGGATTGTTTGTGGTGTAAAAGTTTGAAAATTACCGTTTTGAATGTATTATTTAACCACTAAATAACTGCATTTTTCTTTTACTGTTTTTGGAACTTTATTGGGTTAACATGCTTTTTGTAAAACGATGCTACATAATTTGGAGTTAAGTATTTAAATACAGTTCTTCCCTACCACTGATTCTAATAACTGCAGTTTGTCGAAGATCCCTTCCAATGCCATTGCTTACAACACAAGAATATTCTCCTTCATCCTGCTTCTGGGAATTCCGTATTCGAAGAGTGCCATTCTCAAATATCTTCCATTTTGTCCTCGGATTTGTGATAGAGGATGAAAATTTTATGAAGGAATTTCCTTAAAAGAACAATAATAAATGCATCCATATTATGTTAGCTAACTTGTATTTTTAAATACGTTTATGGTAAACAAACATTTATTTGTTTAAGTTTTTACATAGAAATAATATTCTTTCCGCAAGTATTTACTGCAAGAACTATAACTGGGATCAAAACAATTTAAGCGATTCTGGATTTAGTTCTAACAAATAAAAACATCAGACATATTTGATAAATTTGGGCCTTAATTTTGGATTTTATTATGAAATTGTATCATATATGTATATTAATTAAAACGAAAAATCCTGCTTTGCTATCAATAAGGATAAGAATGATTCAGATTTTGTTAACCTCTCGTTCATTATATTTATAAAGAACTCAAAAACGTTGAACATCACACAGCAATTTCGAATATTTATCACACACATTTTATTTATTATTTCCAATACGCTGGTAAACCTACCTCTTTTTATAAACCATTTAACAGAGGGCTGAGGAGAACCTCTGGTTAAACAGTCTAGATAAACATCAGAATTTTTTCCTACAATTTTGTCGGTTGTTTTTTTTATCCATACTGGAGCACCTTTCAAATTCAGAGCGACAGTAAATTGACTTATGCCACCGGGACTCTCAACCTGACAAGTATAATTTCCATTATCTTCAATTTGGGCATTACTTAATTCTAAGGCTGAGTAATCAATGTTGTTTGTAATGTAGACTCTTTCTCTTGCATCAGTCAAATCTTCACCATTTTTCATCCATTTAAAACTCAACTGTTTTGTCTCGATCTGAACCGCACAAAATACTTTAGCATATCCTCCAACAGTCATGTTTTGCGGAAAGGAGAATGGCATGATAGTTGGAATCTCTAAAAAATAAAACATTTTATGTAACATAGGTGTCTCATTTCTAAGAAAATATTTATACCATTGACATTTACTTGTGAAAAGACATTTGCAGTTCTGAACCTCTTACGTGTAACTTGTTTTAATATGTCTTATAAAGTTATAAAATATATTTCTACTACTATTTAGAGCAGGGAGTTCCTACGCTAGCTGTAATTGCATGATAACCCCTATTTCGTCTTCGAAATCGATCATTTGCTTATTTGCTGTTCTGGTTGCAGTTTTTGTTCTTGTTCTCCACAGTTTAGCGGTAATGTTACCTGATGGTAGAATGGTGATGAAAATACATGCAAATGACTTTGAAGAAAGCACAGACTGTCGAGCTGTCCAAATAGTGAAAACCAGAAACAAAAAGATGAGAAGTGGCCCATTTTGTTTAACCAGTTAGTGCTAGGAAGGTTGTGGACATGCTATCAATAAACTTGAATAAGTTCGTGGAGTGTTAACAAAGGATGTTATTACAACACAACATCATAGTTGCGAATCGTTCATGGACTCAGTATGAATTTTAAGACAGCACCTAGAGCGCTTATTAGTTACTATGAAATAAGAAGTAGGTTTCAATATTCAGTTGTAAGAACCACACAATCTGTATTGCTTTTTTTATTTTTGTTAAGATAACCGAAATTAGCAACAATACTATTGACCGCATGTAATCTTAACACGTCCATTAATGTTTCATATATTTATCAATGGTTCATTAATTTGAGTTTGTAAAGCTAAAAGTAAACAGCTAAAAGTGCAGTGCAACTTCATTCAATATGACAGTTTTGAGTTGTAAATTGGTTATCGGATGGATGGGAGTAAAGATGTTGTTTCCAAAGAGCAGGTTCATTATTCTGTGACAAATTATATTGACGACCTTTCGTATATGTAATTAGACCACACTTTGTCTGATGTCCAGTGTTATATTCTTAGATTTCTGATGGATTACTTTGAACAAGAAGTCATATAAGTTTTTAATTAGTTAGCGAAGTCCCAAGTTCTATTTGTTCATTTGATTAAAAACGAATTTAAAGGTATACCCCTTCTTTTTTTCTTACTATAGTAAACCTTCGATTATTAACTACTGACGTTTTCTTCAGCTCTATAACTTTCGACTCCTGTAACTTATATTTTGCTGTTTTCAGTAAACGGACAATGACCAGAAACTACGAACTTTGGCATGATAACTATCAACGGTAACAGTTGGTAATACAGGTTTTATATGATATGCATGATGAAATTTGTTTTAAGTCTAAGCATGTTTTACTAACATACAAACACTAAAATTAAGCAAACTTTGAAAGTATTTTCAAGAAATGGAAAGAAGTAAATTAATTTGAAATTTCTATTTACTAAGAGAAAGTGAACATACCGTCATATGCATTATATTAAATAACTACAAATTACACAATAAATTTTATGGATGTTCGTATGACAGCAGTGATATACAAAACACATCTTACACAGTAGTAAACGTATATACTTAGGTAAATACACAGTAATAAATATACTTATATATATATATATGTGTGTGTGTGTGTGTGTGTGTATATAAACACTTATTCAAATACAGCCACTTAAATACATAATTATACAATAAAATTACATTTTTTTTCTTTTAAAATACTCTAATTTACTCACTTCGATTCTAATGTAATTATCTTATTTTATAATTTTGTAACTTAGCTATATAACTAAACTTGTTCAATTCTTCGAATTTAAATGCTTACCTTTTGCTGGGGCTGCAACTAGCAGCAAAGCAGACGCCATTAACACAGCCTTTTGGATCGTTTCGAACTCCATTGCTTAGCACGTTGCAACCAACCGAACACAGACTCTTAGATTCTCAATAAGACTTCAGTACCAACCTTGTTGGAGTGATAAATTTGAAATTCTCTAAAAAATTTAAAATTTCATTTATAAGAGGTAAATTCAAAACTTTTCAAAATATCATTGCCTAATGATATTTCCCCCTTGGCAACCATCTGTCAGAGAATTATACATACTGGTTCACTAAACAAAGCAAAGGGCTTCTTTTTGACGGTAGCACCACCAACCGGAATCAAATAGTCTACTTTTGATTATCATAAATAACGTTGGTTAGAAATAAAATCGTAAAGAGGATATTTATTAGACGTTATATGCAACAGTGATTATATACTATGTTCCCAAGCATAAAGCATTACAACTAAATATTAATTTGTTGAACATATCATTGATAAATTCAAAACATATATATATTGAAACACGCATAATGTTTTCATCATTTCTTGATCAGTTTCAAAGGTTTGCATTCTTTGGGCCTTGAACAAATCCAAGAATGAACAAGAACTTATTTCTTTGTAAGGTCTCATGCTAGTGTCTCTAAAAACGTTTCAGGAAAAATTTGTAAGTATAGATTTTAATAACAATTATAGCAATAATAAAAATGAATCTGTTTATTTCCAGATCAATGTATAAGAATTTACCTATAACAGTTACTCTGACAGTTTTGAGTAGTGGTTCAGCAACACCGTTGTCTGCTGTGCATATATAATTTCCTTCATCTTTTTCTGTCGTTCTTTTAACCTCTAGAACTGCCTTTCCATCATACGAAACATTCAACTTTTCTTCAGACAACTTTGTCGCAGAAAGATTGTCCAAGGAAGATTCTATATTTTGAGAAATGCATTTTATCACTTTTTTGTTATTTTAATCTTTAGATGCAAAAACCCTTTTTCAGTTCCTACTTTTAATCCAGGAATTAGAACAGTCAAGAGTATGAGGAGGCCTTTCAACATCAATTGCATAACTGAATTAGTTTCAGTGTGTATATTTTTAATTAATGGAGTTATTTATATTTTTTTTTACTTTAATATTCCTCAAATTACAATATTTAAGAAAGCGAAACGTACAATTAACATCAATACACTAACCAAAAACACACTAAGGAAATGATAATTAGTTACTTTTTCCCTACCTATATTTCGTGTCCATCTAACAGTGGGAATAGGGTAACCAGTGGCCGAACACTCTAAACGTAGATGCGAAAGTTGCTTTATCCTAACATCCACAGGTTCATGTTTCCACTTTGGTGATGCTTGTATATAAACAAAACAAAACTATAAATCGCAGCATCTAAGAAAACTAAATGGCTCTTTTCTAATATATATACCTATCGCGCCAAACTAATGCTAAGAACAATTAGTAAAGAAAAGAAAAGCTTAAACATCCTTAGAAAACCAGTAGTAGAGATTGAAATTTTTCATTCAACAGCTTAACGAAGAATTAGATGCAAATCATACAATACTAATTATCTAATTTATTTAGTGCATATTGGTATATAGAAGACATTTTAGTACTAGAAATAAACGACCTTATAACACCAAATTGTTGATTTTATTTAATTAGACACTCAACGTTTCGCTTTACAGCTTCTTCTGGAGCTTTTTCAAGCTGTGTACTATCACTTACGGTTTGTGTTTTAGTGGAACGCTCCTGAA